TTACTGGTTTTCTTGTGTACATGACAGTAAAACCTTATATTGTGTGCTTGGGCCGTCGAATTTCTGATGCGTAGTTTAAGAACAATATAATGTCTTATATATTTAACTTTTCTTTTCAGCTTTTAAATAATTATACAATTCAGATGTGGTAATTATTTCTTTTTGATAAACATTAGTTTGGAAGTCTTAGATATTATTCGTATCTAAATATTTATAACGTTCTGATAATATAAACAAGATTTGAGTGTATTTAAGAAAAGTTTAGCAATAGTATGGTTGAAATGATGAACATATTCATGAAATAAATCAAATATTTATTGACGTGAAGACCAGGTGTTCTTTGAACTTGTTAAATTAACTCTCCTAAGCTCCACCGCCAAAGCCCCATCCCCACACAACCACAACCCCACCCTGGGAAGCCATATTTCTCAACCACAAAGACAAACACAAAGACATGTAAACATCTTTGTGTTTCAGGCCACGCAGCGTGTGGCTAACCCATTTAATCTTTCCCTCCAAGATATTTCCTTCATCGTCTGGGTAGTACTTGTGTAGACTCGTGGATGGGGGGAGGGGGGTATTTTGGTGGTGGGGCGCTGGACAAATAACCTGACATTGGAACGACTTCAGAGTTTGTTTTCCAAGAAACTAATATATTGCACATATATGTGAAACCAGTGCTTTTACTCCCCACATGGTTCGTATAACATTGGGGATGGCATACATGTTCACATTGATGTTTTATATTTAGACATCTCGCAAGCCGAAGCTAATCCTAATCTCGGGCGCTTTACGTTCAAAATAATTCAAAACTTTGGAGTTTCACACAGTTTGTACTTTACCGACGATACACTCAGTCGAACAGATCTTATACTTAATATGTCTCACATAGTCGAACAGATCTTATAGCTAGTATGTCTCACATAACGAACAAATCTTATACTTAATATGTCTCACATAGTCGAACAGATCTTATAGCTAGTATGTCTCACATAACGAACAAATCTTATACTTAATATGTCTCACATAGTCGAACAGATCTTATAACTAGTATGTCTCACATAGCGAAAAGATCTTATAGTATGTCTCACGTAACGAACAGATCTTATAGCGAGTATGTCTCACATAGCGAACAGATCTTATAGCTAGTATGTCTCACGTAACGAACATATCTTATAGCTAGTATGACTCACATAGTCGAACAGATCTTATAGCTAGTATGTTTCACATAGCGAACAGATCTTATAACTAGTATGTCTCACATAGCGAACAGATCTTATAACTAGTATGTCTCACATAGCGAACAGATCTTATAACTAGTATGTCTCACATAGTCGAACAGATCTTATACCTAGTATGTCTCACATAGTCGAACAAATCTTTTACCTTGTATGTCTCACATAGCGAACAGATCTTATAGTATGTCTCACGTAACGAACAGATCTTATACCTAGTATGTCTCACATAGCGAACAGATCTTATAGTATGTCTCACGTAACGAACAGATCTAATAGTAAGTCTCACGTAACGAACAGATCTTATACCTTGTATGTCTCACATAGCGAACAGATCTCATACCTAGTTTGTCTCACATAGCGTACATATCTTATTCCTAGTATGTCTCACATAGAGAATAGATCTTACAGCTAGTATGTCTCATATAGCGAACAGATTTTATAGTGTGTCTCACATAGCGAACAGATCTTATAGCTATTATGTCTCACATAGCGTACTGATTACAAAAAAGCTTTTCGACATAACTGAAAAGTTTCACTGGAACTGAGACAACGGTCAAATATTTTACTAAAAACAATGGCCACTATAAACATTACAATCACCAGCGTACGAAGTTGGTCCTTTATGAACATAATCATATTTTACTTAACATAATTCTAAGTTGTTTCTTATGAACATGTTCATTATATTCTACCAAATACAGTTGTAAGTAAGTCACTCTGCGAATATATCCGTGATATTTTACTGAAAATAGTTGAGAGCAGGACCTTTTAAGCATACATTCGTGATATTTTGCTAAACTAAAGTTTAAGTTGATCGCTTATGAAATCTGATATAAACACAATTTAAATTATGTCACCCACGATTATAGTCTCTCTCTATATATATATTGTTCCAAGTAGACTACCTTCCAACATACCAAGAAATACTTTTTTGAATATGCTTGTGCTTTATTCTATGTGAGATTTAACGAAATGATCATGTGATTGATCAATAAATCATCGCATAACTCCCCGGGGTAGGGGTGCATTTTTGGGACACCAAAGTTGATTTTGTCAGAAGTTTGCCATCTTGTGTGTCCGTCCGCTGCTTTATGTAACACTACAACGGCCAGCCAAGTCCACTCCTTGATGTCTCCATCTAATTTTGTCTTGACCTGACTCCTCTACCCTCTCCTGGCACCGTGACTTGCAAGTTTACTGTGTCACGTGACTATACCATCTGAGTTTCTTTGTCTTGAGGATACTTAGCGGGTTCTCAAATCACCAATCACATTTGTGATTATTTCACTGACCTGTTTATTTGTTATATGATGCTATTTGTTATATTTTTATATGACGTTATTTGTTACATGACGTGCATGAGATGCCTAGGAGTCTACCTCAGATGAATCGTTAAGTTGATAGATTCTAGATCTAATGTTTAAGTTAAGGTTTACGTATTTATATTTGCTGTTCTCTAACGTAAGTTATTCATTAGGACCTGCCGGGTCGTATGGCAGATGAAGTAGAGTTCAACTGTTTACGTGATTTATGCATATGAAAGGGTTGGTGTAGTCGATTATCTAACGTAATTCATCTTCCCATCAGAACTGGGTGGACCACGCCTGGATCCGAACTAAAGACAGCAGTGGTGCGCCCTACCGCACCACCACCCCGTCCCTTTGTTCCGATATATTACAGGTTACTATTTGTTCATACTATGCACGTAATACAGTACTAGTGCTGAAGGTGAATTCGGTATCTCTTACAACTCGGCTGTCTCTGTACAATTAGAAAATTCTTAGTTTTTGACTTCACAATATAACAGAAGTCCCAAAAAAATCAAAAGCTGAAAATTAATGAACGACCCAGCATGTATGTTCTTTGTGACTCCACTTTAGCATGGAGTCTACTCCTTATGACTCCAGTTTAGCAAAGAGTCTAGTCCTTGTAACTCTAGTTTAGCGAAGTCTACTCCTTGTGACTCCAGTTTAGTAAAGAGTCTAGTCCTTGTGACTCTAGTTTAGTAAAGAGTCTACTCCTTGTGACTCTAGTTTAGTAAAGAGTCTAGTCCTTGTGACTCTAGTTTAGTAAATAGTCTAGTCCTTGTTACTCCAGTTTAGTAAAGAGTCTAGTCCTTGTGACTCCAGTTTAGTAAAGAGTCTAGTCCTTGTGACTCCAGTTTAGCAAAGTCTACTACTTGTGACTCTAGTTTAGCGAAGTCTACTACTTGTGACTCCAGTTTAGCGAAATCTACTACTTGTCATTCCAGTTTAGCGAAGTCTACTACTTGTGACTCCAGTTTAGCGAAGTCTGCTACTTGTGACTCTAGTAAAACGTCACGTCCACAAGACTCCTGTCTACCTCGCCTGTAAGTCAAAACGACACTGCATCAAGTCGAGGGGAAGTTGCTTGGCATAATATGTACATACGTTCGTCGTCTTGTCTTCTTAGAGATCTGTAGTTTATGTGTATGTTTTTTTTAAATTGCTACTCCTAAAGTTATGAGTTCATCATTAAATTCTCCTGTCCTTGACTTAGTTAAAACTTCCTTCAGATGTTTGATAGAGGTTAAACACCGCAAGTTGGACGTGACCACCGATTTATTTCCACTTAAACTACAGCAACCTACAACCTACTACAGCAACCTACAACCTACTACAACAACCTACAACCTACTACAATAAAATGCAACCGACTACAACAAACTACAACCTACTACAACAACCTACAACCTACAACCTACTACAACCTACTACAAACAAAATACAACTACTACAACAAACTACAACTTACTACGGCAAAATACATCCTACAACAGAAACTACGGAAACTACACCGTACAAAACCGACATTTTTTTCCAGGTTAACTTTCTCCCTAATCACCGTAACACAAGATAACGACCTTTATCGTTTCATAACAACAACTACTAAATCTAGAGATCGATAAATTACCACACCACGTGGCTAATTGATTGTTATTGAAGCTGGAGAAATTAATCGATTATAAGTGGCTACATATCCTCATCTAAACTGTAAATAAGTAATCGAATCACTTCAACAAATGATTCTTGAGATAGCAGCGTGGGCCGCTAGGTTCATACCACTTGTACTAGACATTCTGAAGTTTGACTTTTTCCGCTCAAGAATCAACTTGTTAGTTCGTAACCAACTGTCTCCAGTTGACGCCAATTAAAGAAATCTCTTAACCACAGCTCAACAAGACAGAAATATCTGAATCCATAAACTCTCGGAGACTGTCAGAATCGGGTCAAGATCATTCAGCTCCTTCGAGACCCTCCCAACCCCCCCCCCCCCCAACCCCTCCCAACAGGGCGTGTCGGGTCAATGACCGACTTGGATGACTAGAGATTGCTCACTATCCGTAAAATAATTGTTATAAAAATATTCGCCTCATACAGTTTGGGTTTTACCAGTACGTTTTGTTTATTGCTAGATGTTTTCTCGTATGTTACAATTAGTTAGGGAGAGGCTAATTAAGATTGTATCTGCAGGATTATAGTTTTAGAAGCAGATGTATGTTGAAAATTAAAATGGCAGGAGCCATTTATTTTCTCTGAGAGAATCAGCGGGTCTCAACAGGTAAAACATGTATTTTTATGTTGTCAACTTTAATTTTAGATATAAATATATGTAAGCTTTCGCCGAAAACTTTTTCGTATTTTGTATTGTAATATATGTAATTCATATTCTTACATTCTTTTTCTTTTCATTCAGAAAATTTAGTTTTGAGAAGACCCCAGTGTTACTATACTAATGGAAATGAATTTGAGTTCAGGCTATCGAGAAGTTCTGGAACCTTTGGAGCCAGTTTCCGATGAAATAGTGTTTGAATTTGACTACACGATTCTGTTGTTGTTCATGTTTCTTCTATCTTCACTCGGCGTGGTCGGTAACTTGGTCAACTGTGTGACCTTCGCACGTCAGGGGCTGCAGGATCGAATCCACCTGACGCTCTTCTCCTTGTCCACAACTGATCTACTCTCCAGCTTGGCTTGCTTTGGTTTCACGACAGTTGTGCTGTGTAACGTCCTGGGACTAGAGACCGAGGTCACCTACAACCTGCTCATGTTGACCCTGCTCATTGTACGCTGCATGTTCGCCGACTTGTGTTCTATCATCACAGTCTTCATCTCCATCGAGCGATGTCTCTGTGTTACAATGCCTTTTATTTTCAACACGACCTCATCGGCCAGAAAAACACACATCCTTCTCCTGAGCTTTGCTGCATTTATTCTATTGAACTACATCCCTCTGTTGGCAACAGAACGAGCTGTTCCAGTGTTTGACCCAGGCACCAACTCTACTGTCCTAGATCTAGAAGTTTCTGAAGAATTTGAAATTCTCAACAAGTACAACGACTACGTCTTTGGATTCGGCCTGTCATTTTCGTGTCAAATCTGTGTTTTTGTCTGCGCTGTTCTCATGTACGATGGTCTTCGAAAGTCTTCTCAAATCCGAGACAGTTCCAGAGAGTTCGGTGACCTTTCTGCGGGGGCCACCAAACCTCAAGGTCAGCTGATGTCCAGGAAAGAGAGACGTGTGGTCAAGATGGTCCTGATGCTGGCATGTCTGTATGTGCCAACTGGCATCCCCCAGATGATCTTCGTCCTGGTCAGGTTCGTCTTACCTGAGCTGTACTCGGGCAGGTACAGGAGTATCTTAGAGTCCATGTCCAGCACGTTGATTGCCGTCTCTAACGTTAACGGCGCTCTCAGTTTTTTCATCTACTTCAAGTTCAGCTCAAACTTTAGGAAGACTTTACTGGAGAAAAACGCCTTAATAAATAAAAGAAAATCACGATGATGTTTCTCGACTGTTTTGTATCACTGTAAAACTTGATGCGGGTAATGTTTAGGATAAAATACATAAAATGTATTTTTCTTATCCTTGGTCTTGCAGTCGAATGTCAGATGTGTATCTTTGTGTGCGCTGTATTCATATTTCAAGATCTTAGAAAATCTTCTTCACGTATTCAAAGTTCTATGCACAAGACCAATCAAGTACACTAGGACAACGCGGAATCCCAGCCCACCAAAGAGCCTGCTACCCAACAAACTATGAGAACCATGAATACAGAGCCCACCAATGAACCTCCTATCGTGGAGACGGTGATGACGATGTCGCTTCTAGAAAAGTCTACGGTGCTGTCTCAGATCGTGATAGACATCTTGTCATCATCCCAGAGCGGGCAACTGATCCATGTGCACCAAACCTGCCATGGTCTATTGGCTCTTTGTGCCACAGCCAACGTCTTGACTACATCTTCATTTACCACAAGTTAAACACCAACTTCAACAACAGGTTGGTAGATATTGATCCTCACCTACAACAAATTAAACTACAACTTCAACAACAGGTTGCTAGATATCGATCCTCATCTGCAACAAGTTAAACACCTACATCCACAACAGTTTGCTAAGTATTGATCCACATCTACCACAAGTTAAACACCATCTTCAACAACATGTAGGTACATATCGTTCCACATCAACAAGTTAAACACAGTTAAGCATTGATCCACATCTACCACAAGTTAAACACCAACATCAGAAATACGTAAGAGATTTGTGAGTGAAAAATCAAAGGATCACTATATCAAAGTTAGAAATGTGTTTTTAAAAAAAAATACTTTTAGCGTCTCGCAATGAGATATGGCCGTGTTGGAAGCCAGGCCCAAAATGCCATTTGCCTGAAGACCGTTTTTCCGATTAAATGTTGATTATCATCTGACTCGTTATATTTAGTCCATGTAAATTTTCACTTTGCCTACTTGTTTTGTAGATTGTATGTAGGCATTTGAATATAACCAAAGTGAGTCATACTGGATTTATATAAAAATAACGTAACAGGCATATACATGAAATCTCAGTGAAAAAGATTGAACTAAATATAAAACATAAACCAGTGTACCGATAGATTAACATTCGAAATTTTTAAAAAGTTCCAAATGTTAAAGCTACTGGTCGAAAAACTGGAGAGACTAGGCGTCTCCATAACTGCAAAAAAACAAGTACAGAATTGGCCTGAACTAGAATATTGATCATTGATTTATCGCACGTTATAGTATATCAGTAATGAATTAATTTATTGCATTTTACAGTATATCAGTAATGAATTAATTTATTGCAAGTTACAGTATATTAGTAATGAATTAATTTATTGCATGTTACAGTATATCAGTAATGAATTAATTTATTGCGTTTTATGTATATCAGTAATGAATTAATTTATCGCACGTTATAGTATATCGGTAATGAATTAATTTATTGCACGTTATATTATATAGGTAATGAATTAATTTATTGCACGTTATAAGTATATCGGTAATGAATTAATTTATTGCACGTTATAGTATATCGGTAATGAAAGTGGGCGGTGACACGACCACAACACAATAAACTTCATGGTTTTACTGCTATAGCTTCACCACTCTGGCAAACGATAAATATTTTAAACCCAGTCCAGAATTTATGAGTCCTGTCCAACCACCAGACACAATAGACGTCTGGTTGGCGTCTAGACAACTAAACAAAGCCACACCATCAACTGACAAACAAAGCCACACCATCAACTGACAAACAAAGCCACACCATCAACTGACAAACAAAGCCACACCATCAACTGACAAACAAAGCAACACCATCAACTGACGAAACTAGAGCAGTCAAAGAAAACATTTCGAATCATTTATTTAAACGTGTTTACAACAATCAACGAACAAACTTTGTGTTCTGGGTCAGGTTCAGTCATCTATTCAGGTGAAAAGAAAATAGTGGCGTAGGTGTTGCATTTCGCTTCGATGCTAAAAGCTCCGCCTTCCTCCAATGTAAAACAGTGGTTTTAAAATATTAATTGATTATTTGTTGACCTTGATGTGATATGTACAAAGATTAAAGTAAAACATTGCCGATTGGTTTTCAGAATCTATTTATTTTCTATGTTGTTGTATCCGAGAGACATTAAACAAATTTTAGTTGGCCTTTAATATCATTATATCTCTCCACGCTAAACCACTAATCTCTCAATACTAACCTCTCAACACTAACTTCTCAACACTAGCCTCTCAACACTAACCTCTCAACACTAACCTCTCAACGCTAACCTCTCAACACTAACCTCTCAACACTAACCGCTCAATACTAACCTCTCAACACTAGCCTCTAGACACTAACCACTCAACACTTACCTCTCAACACTAACCTCTCAACACTAGCCTCTAGACACTAACCTCTCAACACTTACCTCTCAACACTAACCTCTGAACACTAACCTCTCGACACTAATCTCTCAACACTAACCTCTCAAAACTAACCTCTCAACACTAACCTCTCAACACTAACCTCTCAAAACTAACCTCTCAACACTAACCGCTAGACACTAACCTCTCAACACTAACCTCCCAACACTAACCTCTCAACACTAACCTCTCAACACTAACCTCTCAACACTAACCTCTCAACACTAGCCTCTCAACACTAACCTCTCAACACTAACCTCTCAACACTAACCTCTCAACACTAGCCTCTCAACACTAACCCCTCAACACTAACCCCTCAATACTAACCCCTCAACACTAAACCCTCGACACTAACCTCTAGACAATAACCTCTAGACACTAACCTCTAGACACTAACCTCTTGACATTAACCTCTCAACACTAACCACTCAACACTAACCTCTCAACACTAACCTCTCAACACTAACCTTTAGACACTAAACTCTCAGCACTAACCTCTCAACACTAACCCCTCAACACTAACCTCTCAACACTAACCTCTAGACACTAACCTCTCAACACTAACCTCTAGACACTAACCTCTCAACACTAACCTCTCAACACTAACCCTTCAACTCTAACCTCTCAACACTAACCTCTCAACACTAACCTCTCAACACTAACCTCTCAACACTAACCTCTCAACACTAACCTCTCAACACTAACCTCTCAACACTAACCTCTAGACACTAACCTCTCAACACTAACCTCTCAACACTAACCTCTCAACACTAACCTCCAGACACTATCCTCTAGACACTAACCTCTCAACACTAACCTCTCAACACTAACCATTCTATACACTAACCTATCAACACTAACCTCTAAACACTAACCTCTCAACACTAACCTCTCAACACTAACCTCTAGACACTAACCTCTCAACACTAACCTCTAGACACTAACCTCTAGAGACTAAACTCCCGGGTTTTATACATAATTAAAAACAAAACAAACATTAAAAAAATCACTTTTATTATAATTTTTTTGTATATAAGCATTGTGCAATTAATAAAGATATCAAAAGCATAATGGATTATTTAACAGGGTGTTGTTTTTATTAATTAACACTCCCATTGTATATTTAAAATAAATATTTTTAAAAAGCTGGGGTTTTTAAACTTTATCTCTAACACTGTGTTCTCTCTCGAAGTGGCTAATTTCTGACTTAGTCTATGCTTATTAGCAAGGCAGACTGGCACCAGGTTTCTTTTCTTTTCTTAGTCATAAAGACCTGCTTTCACCCACCAGATATCGAACTCGTGACTTTCAGTGTTAGCAAACACAATTGCTACCACTAGACCACACCGTCACATCGACATTACATACCTAAATAATAGAGGCCAAGTTTGATTTTAAAATGTGGATTGGAGAGATATTTTCAATCGATATTCTAACAACATTATGCAGTACTGTAAAGTAAACTCAAAACTCTGACAAAAGGTAAAAAAAAAAAAAGCCAGCCATATTGAACCACAATGATATTTGGGTGTTTGAAAACGGGACAATGGTTATACTTATTTTCAGTGTTTCTTTCAGACTTTTTTCTCGGGGGTGGGGGAGTGGCACTTAATATTTTCGTGGGGGCGGATTTTATTTTCCGGGGCGGGGGGGGGGGACACACTGGTAAAAGTATATACCAGAACACAGCTCTAAAATTGTATTTGACAATTTATATTGGTAGCTCTGTAGCTATCCGCCGCTATTTCATATAAAATAACTACCCTTTGTCTACCCCATGAAATCTAAACCACAACACTATCTATCACGAACATTAAATTGATCTCATCAATAATTTTAACCAACATTCTAAACTTAACAAAGATTTTTTAAAAATGGGAATACATTACGCACTGTCTGTCGGGTTGGTTTGAGAAACAATTGAGTTAATAAAACTTCTGTGTGTACGCCAAACAACCGAATAAAGTCATGTTTATAGACGGGACCTCATCAGTACTAGATAATATTACATTGTTCAGGTACATTCTGTTGACAAATATTCTCACAGAGGAGACCCAGGTGAACATGAAGTAGTAGTCGTTGAGTCTCCCTGGGATGTAGGTCTGTGTAGCCAGGTAAATGGTCAGCGGCACGCCGTCCTTAATTCTGGTGAGTTGAGTTTGGTTTCTGGTGACCCTAGGCTCGACACGGTAAAGAAAGTTGGAGTTTATAATCAAGTTGGCCTGGATCTCCGTCGTGCCGACAACATGGAGCTATTTAAAAAAAAATTACGTCAACAATTAGCTGCTAATATTTTGAAAAAAAGTAGTTGGTAAATAGTTGGTAAAATTGACATGAAGTGAATTCTTTCACGGCTGAGTTTCTTTCAGGCATCTGTCCGTAACTGGGGGTAGGGGGGGTCACTTCCGAGCATGTATATGATTTTATATAGTAAATATATAGTTTGACCAGTGTTCCCCTCCCCCCCCCCTCCCCCAAGGAAGTTTTAAGTGCCTCACGCGATCAAAAATATTGGCGTTAAAACCGGATCAGGAGCTTGCAATCTCTAAATATCTGCTCATCTTAG